TTTGTAAGTTGTTATTAGCAGCTTCCAATTTATTAAATCAATTGAGAAAATTTCATCTTCTAAGGAAGTTTAAAAATGAAAGAATTAACCGTTTTGAGCAATGCAATATTATCTCGCAGAGCACCAAGGGATCCCATTAATGAAACAATGCATATGGCAAGTCCAATTATGGTGAGCATAACGGCCGGATTAAGGAATACATCCGCCCATTCAGCTATTGGCCGTGGATCCTTGATGCACAAATACACACCGAGTGCCAAACATGTCACACCGATAAGCTGCAACTCACAGTTATACATTCATTTGCAAAATCATAATTATTCTTGAAATATTAAAAAATACATCTGGAAATCTAGCTTGATCCGATGGTCCCTCAGAATTGAACAATAGTTGAGATTTAAATCAAAAAGTTCCAACAAAGCTAGAATCGTTTTGCTACTATTTGATTTATTACTTAAAAGGCTCTTTGTAGACAAGCATCCATTATATTGACTAGATTTGAAGTGAACCTCAAATTTAAGAACTGGAATAGTTTTGTTTCATTTTCTTTTCAGCTTATGATTTATTTTCTCTCCTTCACTTTGTTTACTAATTTGTTTACTGATCTAGTTAATAGCTTGTAAACAAAACAAGCATCACTCAATATGCAAACGTACAAAGACTAAGAAATTGACGATGAAACAGAGCCATTTGAGAGGCGCACAGATTTCTTGACGTGGTTTACGTTTTTTCGGTTCGCTTAGCAAATATTTGCTATGATTCTGATTGATGGCCGTCGGCTGCAGGCCAAAACGGCCATACTCCACCGACGGCATCAGAAGGTGCTTCTCCTCCACTCCAACCAAAAATGTGAGCCTAAAAAAGTCCAAATCTAACCATCTAAAATTTATAGCATGAAAATTACTAGGAGGAATGATTAGGTATCATTTAATGAGTATATTAAACAAATCCGGTTTCATGAATGCCTGATTTCAGTAACAGTACTTGCACAATATTGGTTTTTTATCGTTTTCAATAAACAGTTTATTGCTACAATCAAGTTGTACATATAGTTTGCCTCTGTATCTTAATTTCTGTATGTGTGTATGAGTGTGTGTGTGTGTATGTGAGTGTGTGTGTGTGTGTGTGTGAGTGTGTGTGTATTTATTGTGATCTGAAATTACTGAAGTTGACTCTTAAATAAGTAAAATAACCAGTTAGAAATACAATATATAAGGCATAGAAATTAATTCCTAATCCAATCTTCCATATTTCATAGAAGTATAAAGTGTACTCTTCGCTAAAGTTAATATTCCTGATAATCAAATTGCTTCAGCACCGAAAATTTGGAGTGAATGATTTTACAGACTAAATCTAACATTTTGATAAGTTGAGACTAGAAATTTTAAATCCAGAATGGATGAATGAATTGATCTCAAAACGATTTTTTAATGCCCGTTCATTTTAATATCTACCCTCTTCAAGAGGGCTTAGAAATTGGCTTGCCAGTCATTTCTCAGCAGCCTTAAATTATAATGAGCTATTCTTATGCATAAGCTATTTGTTTAACACATCGATTATTTCGTGTCCAAGTTTGAAATAGACAACAAACAAATAGTCATTAAAAATACATCATATAAATATAAATATATGCAGCTTACAGAAGGATATTAAAAAGACAGCAGCATCTAGTTTGAAAATCTTACAATTCTTCTTATTCTTGCTACATAGATTTTCCAGTTTTTAAGAACAGAAAGTCATGATAACATTGAATTTATTATATTATAATACCTTATATCACTGAAAGTATCATATTAAAGTTTTCATGATAAATAATAATTTCAATGATGAGAGAGTATCTACATGTTACTAATTGTTAGCCTTGTTATATGCATAATCACTTTATCAAATTTACTAAATTTGTTATCGAATAAATTTCTGCTAATCTATTTTATTGCAAAGATGAAAAATTAATTAAGAAACAAACAAAATTAATTTAAGATAAAATGATCAAATTTTCTCTGAGAAAGAGTATTTAAGAGTCATTTGAAAGTTGTTATATGTCGCCCCTTCTTTGAAAGTGTCATTTCCTTTTAAATGGCTTTGTGCTTTAACACTATTCTCAACTCTCGCAAATCAACACCAAATGTACCATTTGAAAACAAGAAAAAAAATTGGCTATAAGGATTGTGCAAAGTTTAAAGGCATATATTATCAGAAGACTTCAGAATGTTGTTTGTCTGTTTGGCATGAATGCATGTTGAATGAGATTGTGAATTAATTAGCTGTCAATGACTAAGATCGCTTAGGCTTGACCACTCATAGGAATAATATTTCCTAGGCCACAAGACTCCCAGGATATCAAACCTCAGCATAACTCAATCCTTGCCACATCAACAGCAATGTCTGAGTCGTGAGATCGATGACCTATTTTGCAACATAGCGAGGAAAATATGAATAAATTATTAGCTCTGAAATAAACGGAAAAATTGTTTCTTCAAATTTTAATAAATTGAAGAAAGCTTTCAAATATGAACAGGAAAATTTTTTTGACTTTTTCTTTAGATTTTCTACACCGAATGGCTTTTTTATAGGAAAATTACGGTTAGATTTAAAAAGAGAGAGGAAGAAAATAGGGGCAAACCACAATGTCGAAAAGCGTGAGTGGTGCCATGGAATTTAATCATATCCGATGCACACACCATTCTTTGTGCATTAACAAGTGGGTTAATGACTCAAGTCAGCATGGAAAGTTATAATTCATTTCTTCAGAACACTTATGCATAAATACTACAGATATGTTATTAAAGAGTAGAAAGCGTTCAAAAGGGCAGTAACAAGAACAGCGTATGATTAAATTTTGCATCAACCGAAGATCCGTTACGTCAATTGCCATAAAATTGTCTTCAACAGTCTCATTAAAATGAAATTGTATGATAACTAACTATGATCATAGATGATTTTAAAACAATTCAATGAAATTTTATAGCGCAGAAGTTTGAAGAAGAAACAGAGACATATCATAAGTAATTCCTCCTGAAACGAATAATATTCTGCCCTATTGTAATAATATATTACAAAATAATTTTGGCTCAAAGAAAATTCTGGTATTTCGTAAATAAAAATAAAAAAGCAAGTTAGTAAGCGCTGATTCTATGAAACAAAACACTCAGCAAAAAAGTAGCAGAAACTTTCCCATATCGAAGGAATTGAGTCCAGACTGCCCAGATGATTGAAAACCTCGGAAATTCAAAAAAGGAACCTGCGGAATATTTCCAATATTCTTCAACAGTAAGTTATGAGATGGTTAAATTTTCAAAACAAAAATATCGTTGAGTGTAACGCAAAGAATGAATCAGAATCACACAACTCTTTTCTGACTTGTAATAAGTCGAAGTTAAATAAAATTTGACTAATTCCAAATCATTCAAGTAGGAAAAAGAAAATAATATTACTAACGAAGCAATTTTATTGAAAATTTGATGGATTTGAGCAAAAGATTAAAAGAAAAGTAGACTGTGATAAGAAATAACTGATAAGACTTTTTTCTTTGCAACGCCAAAATAAGACGAAAAAGAAGCATTTTCTAGGAAAAAAATATCTTCAGCCAGTAATATTCGAAAATTTCCTTTCTTTTCTTTCAAATAAAATTGTCCTTTTCATATTAAACAAAGGTAAGTGTTTCTGACAATTAATTACTTTTGTCGTTTTTCTGCCCTCTTCGTCCCTCTTCTCTCTTTCTTTCTCTCTGTTTATTCCCCATGATGCGAAAGGTCGAATTTTTCACTGTGAAAGGTGAAAATTTTGTTCTCTCAAATTAAACTGGAGATACAAAGAGTAATAACACGGGTCCCGGCCCAGTATAAATCGATGGAATCAATTTCCTATAAATGTATCGTGATAAGTTGAAAAATACGGTACAAAACACGAACAATAATAGTATAACAGAGAATAGTAATCAGTCCTTTTTTTCAAAATCAATTTAATATTCTTTTTAAACTGTATTAAAATTTAAATTTAATGCAAAAGAAATCATTGCAGTAACAAACAGAATAAGAATAGGATTATCCAAGGTAATTTTTATTTTTTTTTTAAATGAGTGCTATTATTTAATTTCAGCTAAAATTTTCAACAGTGTCTTTAAAACAGAGAGAAATAAATGTAGTGAATTTAAAAAACATGTACATGACATTAATAGGATCCAGATTTAATGTGAAGTTTTACGATAAAACAAATTTGGGAATTTGATGAAAAGATGTACAAGTGTCACGATTTTAAAAGTGGTAAAATGCAAACAAGTTCCCAGAGAAAATGATTTTATTTTTCCATGATTCCATAATCAACTTCCCATAGGTGATTCCATAATCAATCACCGTAGGGTAATTTTTGATAGGCCATCACGATAAGAAATAATTTTATTCCACTAACTGTTAAATTACTTTTTTAACTGTATTAAAAATTAAATTTAATGCAAAAGAAATCATTGCAGTAATAAACAGAATAAGAAGAGAACTTCGTAAAAAAACAAATCTCAAACCAGCTTATTTCCCTACTCTTATCTCTCCTCTACCTTTAATCGATTTTACTAAAATAACCTGTATTATAAAGGTTGGGAAAAAACAATACCGGGAAACTAAGAAGTCAGAGATAACATAAAAACTGATTAATTACAATATATTAAAGAAGTAATGAATTAGTAAGAAATTTGGAACGTGACTGCTTGCAAATTTTTGAAAGAAAATTCTTTCAAAATGACTTCAAAAAGGAATTAAATAACTTTAACTAAATGTAACAAAATTCCGAAAATTTATACAACGTGTCATTCTGTTTCTGATGATATTGGCACTGAAAATGAGGGGAATTGACCTGAACAATTGCACTGCTTAAAACAGTCGCCTCATAATACAGTCATCCTACAATACCGTTATATTAGACAAAGTGTGCATGGCAATATGGTTTGAAGGGTCAATTTAATCAAATACTTTAATAACTCTTCGATTAGATTGAATTGGATGAATGGGATGGAAATGATGGAATGGAATGGAATGGAACGGAATGGGATGGAATGGGATGGAATGGAACGGAATGGAACGGAATGGAATGGAATGGGATGGGATGGGATGGGATGGGATGGATGTGGTGTATCATTCCAAACATACGCCTCAAACGTAAGCAATCACTGGGTGACAATTCAGGATAATTTGAATTAAAGATCAAGAATCATATTTCCACTGAAGAATATGTAATCAATCTAAGGGACAGATGATTGTGTTTCTTCATCAACTTTTGACTTGCTATTGAAAAAAGCATATGCTATCTATTTTTGTCCACATATTTCACTTTCAGAATAGTCGGATGATTTTTCTCAAATGATTCTCAAATGAAAAAATGGTGCATTTTGAACCTCACGTTGATTACTACAATGAATAATTCGACTTTCATCTCTAGTGATGAGTAAACTGCAGCTGGAGCTTCAAAGAAGTTTGAATTTGAATGAATGTAAACAAATTCAAATGAAAGATAATCCAGTTAACTGGTGTTGAATGAGCGATTATAAGAAAGTGTAACAAAATACTGGAAATATTGTTTATTGCCACCAACTTAAAGATAGAATAGAGGACTGTTTGGCGGTTATGTATGGATTTATGAGAACCAAATTGGAGCAGGCATAAAAGTGGCACACACTATGGTGTGGTTTAACTGGATTTTTGGTTGTACAGGGAGAGAGGTAGAAGAGGAGAGGAAGACTGAACTGAACTGAGCTGCCCTCATTCCACATTTTCAGATGTTTTAGTTTTGAGCAAAATTAATAACTTGTGATGTTCCATTATCGAAATTCAACAAAACTGATGCGGAGGTAAGAAGATGAAGCAATGAATGGCTTCATATGGTATAGCAAATAAACTTGTGTAATAATTTATTCGTTACCAATCTATGATTACTATATAGGAAGTCATTTTATCCAAAGTCAAAGTTTTACTTGAGAAATTAAATGAGAATGAGAATTTTTTATTCTTCCTACCGAAACGGTCAAATATATCTCTTTTTTTTGCAACATTGCTGCCAAAAAATAAATTGCAAGATACGAAAAGGCAATATGACAGATGAAATTTCAGGAGAATAAGCAACTGAAAAATAACCAGGGGTAGAGCGGACCAGTTGTTTGGATATTTCGTATCCGATAGCAATAACGATTACGATAGTGGTGACAACAACATACGAAGCCGAAGAACGGTATTATAAAACGTAGGAAAGCAGCAGAAGTACTGCGAACAGTCACGGATGGCTGCTTAATAGCTTCTGTGATTCATTGTTTGGAAATAATTTTCCAAATTTTTGGCTCCATAATTTGATCAGTCCATGAATGCATTTGAAAACTCTCTGCAAATCAGTAAAATAGTAAAAAAATCGGTCAGCAAAAAAAGGAAAAATTAATATCAGTTAAAGCGAAAGGATAACGTTACTGATTTTGACAAAATACCTGTTCGAAAACAAAATAGAGCAACATATACTTTAACAGGTCGGTGATATCATCGTCATATTTGCCATATTAGTAAACAATGTTATTTCTTTTCTTCTTAACCAAAAAGAAAACAAGAAATAAAAAAGCACAAATATGTTACAAATTTGCAGTGTTTGCAAAATTTTAACCCTTTCAAAAAAAAAATACTTTTTTTTGGTATCATTTGAACAGAGAGCAAAGACGATGAAAACCAACTGTCTAGAAATGCTTTTTCACCCTACAGTTTAAACATTTTATGGACCAATGTATTGTATAATGAATGAATATCATGCATGTTAATAGTATTTCAACTATTTACGACCTTGTTGGCAGACGGAACAAATGATATGATTGTGGTCTGTGATTAAATGTTTTTACGATATCTCTGATGATGCATATTTTGTCAATACATCAAAGCATAGCTTTTACACTCATAGATCATAAAATTTTTGCAGATTTTAATACCCTTTCCCAATAAGAAACAGAGAAGGCATTAAAGAATATTCGAAAAAATGTATCGGTCAATTAGATTTTCTAAACTTCGAGATGCACATACATAATGTGAGTGTTAGAAACTTATTTGCTAAAAGGTATGCAGGATGATTATGGAGTTTATTTTTAGTTTATCAAACGAACAACATATGTCGTCAAATGTTTCAAAGAAAAAGAGGTCGTTTACACATAGATGGATGGCCTCTTTACCAAAATATTTTATCTGCGTAAGTGACCCTTTTGTATTCATCAAAATTAATTTAAACTAAACCATTGCTATTTCAATATATGATCATGAATAAGCTCATTCCATGATTAGTAAAACGATCTCAATTTAGAGTATAAAATGGTATATGGGAACGAGATGATAAGAATGCGAAAAATTCTACATGGAATATAAGTCGGTACGACTGAATAAAAAAAACGGGGAAAGCTCCATTTACAGAATATAACGGCTGAATTGCAGTGGTAATCTGATAATCTTCGAATATGATTTAAGTTCTATTAATACAAAAAGTGTATATGCAATTTATATCTACTATCAATTTCCGTTTTTTACTGTGTTTTCTCATTTAATTTATCACTTCCATTACAAGTTTTGATTATCCAAGCCAATCCATTCATTTATCACATCCTTTCATTTCACTAATTATTTGTAATGGTTTTTTTTTCCCTATATTACTACAAGATACAGTCAATATAATTGTTCATGTTCCTGTGCCTCAAAAGTTACGAATATTAGTTACGAATCAAAAGTTACGAATAACAGTGTATATGCAATTTCTGAGTTCGATTCCGACAAAACCGAAAAAAAAGAGGAAAAAATTTACAGAAGCCATTCAAGCTACACAGCAAATGAAATGACCAGGGCAATAGCTCTCTTGACAACCGAGCTGAGTAAACATTTTCACTAATCTGTGACCATAAATAAACTCGTTTATATATATTTACATTGAATAGCATATACCATTTCATTAGGAAATTTCAAAATTTAGAACCCACTTCTCCTCTTCATTCATCTTTCCAATGTTCAATGCGCCCAAGACTCTACCAATCTAATTTTGTAGTACACTTCTCTTTCAAAAATTTATTTTTGATAGTGATAGAGAAATTTTTTGATTAGAGAAAAACAACAATAAATGGAGCATTGTTGCAAGGTTTTTAAAAGATATAAGATGAATTGAAATGATCAGCTTTGATCATTACAGAGTAATTTTCCAACAAAAAATTATTCAAAAAAGAAATAAATATTGCAGCTTAATGAGTGAATGAGGAAAATGGTTTAGATTCAAATTTAAACTGAAGTACAACCTTGAAGAATACAAAGTTTTAGCAAAAAACTTAATTTTAAAACAGGATACTGCATTGATATGGATTTGCATAATAGTTGTAAGTATTGATATGCCTAATAATGGATTATGCATATGGCCAGTGAAAATTTGACCATTCAGTGAAATAGACGAAATGATTTGATAGTGGATTTTATAGCCCCATTATATGAGGTCAATATACGACGTTTGTCCCACATGCGGGCATATCGTCACAGAAAGACACGCTGTTCTGAATAACCAAATAATCTTGAAAACATATAAATACATTTGCATTCAGAATGCAATCATAGAGCGCAATGATCACTTAGAAAATGGAATTATCTCGAAATTTGATATATTATGTCAAATTGTGGGCAATAAAAATGCATGTAAATTTCGTTATAAAGTTTTTCTAAATTGAATTAGAGCTCGAAATAGATTGTCAGAAATGGATAACTGTATAACTGGATAACCTGAAGAATACGAAACAGAGATAGAAACAGATGATGGGATGATGTGAAAACCGCTTCAACTTTTTTCTGCAGTATTTCATTGAAGTTATTTGAGAGACAAAAAATAATGCCTAGATTTGGGTTGAAGAAGAAAATTAATGGGAATTTCTTTTTTCTCTTAAACCTTCAAGGTGAAAAGTCTTCCTTTGAAGAAGACGGAAGACGCGTGTCAAAAATGAGTAATAGAAAAAGGAACATCGACGGCTTTGAAATATATTCATTAAAGAGTTTCGATGAGCATATGAGGGAAGAAAACGGAGAAAGTGAGAGAGGAAGGGAGAGAAGGATTATATTCGAACGTTACAGTCAGTGTATTGGGACAAATAGAAATTCAGCAGTTGGTAAAAAAATTGAATTGGTGCGAGATCATTTTCCAGGAGGAAGTTGACATCAAACTGAAGAAATAATAATTTAATTACAGAGCTCTGAGATAACCACCAATACGTGAGGAAAAGGACATGAATTTGGTGGGGACAATAAGCAGGAGATCAGAGTATTGTTACTGAACAAGCTGTGTAAGGCTACTGGAGGATAGCAGTCCAATGGGATGAGACATTTTGCTGATCTATTTTTTTATCAAATATATTCGTTGCTCATAAAGCCCTTAGGAGGATACAAGGCGAAAACAGAAATGAACTAGCTTATGTATTTAAGCTATTGAACGCGATCTATTTATTATTTTTCATGATAACCACTCGGATAGTTCGAATATAGCAAATGATTGGTTGTAATAATAAAAGGATGAATGGAACAGATGGACCAATGAATGGAGGGAGCATCTGTTTTGCAACTGAACCGAATCAATGAGAACTATCCATTTCGAAGTGAAAGGTGGCTTTCCTTTCTTCCTACCACACGCCACTCATGGCGATATCTATTCTCTAAATATCATTCAATTTTTGTCACCTGTATCTTCTGCCGTTTATTGGAATTAGCGACATATCGGTCAACATGAGATTAACAAAAGGAGATTTAAGGTAGCATAAAATAAAAAAGCAAACAATTGCATTCCTTCTGTTTCACCTGCATATCTATGCCAAACGTCCTTTTTTCTATCACCATTTTGGTCACTATGTGTCTACACAAATGCATACATGTATATACAGGGCCCTACGCATAAAAATAATCTCTAATGTACAATGCTGAAACCTTGAAATTACCATTTGCAAAGGTTCATACAGCTGTTCTGAATTATTTATTTCAGTTGTTGTCATGGATACAGTGCGACAAAAGCGCATTTGAAGATTTTCGGAAGATAATTACCGTTTGTCGTTAAGATGACAAAGAGAGTAATGAAGCCTTTTTGCATTGTATACTATAAGATTTTTTTCTGAAAAATTTATATAATACTATTGTTCGGATCTCAAAAAAAATGCGTAAAATACTCTAATTATTGAATCAGTGAATGAATACGTACAGATAGTTATAGCATGTGGGTAAGCCAATACTACAAATCTTCACGACACCTCAACTCAGAATGCTTTCATTCTAAAATTCTGAAAATATGGAAAACTTCGCGGGAAAATTGGTCAATTCGAACTGTAGTAATTACATGCAATCTTAAAGAACCCATCATAATTTCTTTCATAGCATAGCTTTGTTGCGAAATGACAGTGATTGGTTTCTACGAGATTTGAAATGGATTGCTGAAGGTTTTGAACGTCTCATTTATGAGAGGAAATAATGCATCGTTTACTAACCACTTTAAAAGCCAAAGCTCATTAGCG